TCGTATGCCCTTGAAAGTGGGTGAATGGGAGGGGGAACCACCGGGTTGGCTTGAGTCAACAGGGAACGTTGCTCGACCTGGTCTCAGCCTGGCACCGGGGCCCAGCCCCCCACAGTCCAGGCTCTGAGCTGTCAGCACAGAGCCCGACGTGGGGCTCAAACTCACGAACTGTGAGATCATGACCTGAGTCGAAGTCAGACGCTCAACTGACTGAAAGACCCAGGTGCCCCCCTTTCATACTTTTTTTAATCTTTTACCTTTGATAGAGACCTGGATAGAGCTACATTCTGTTTTGACAAATCCAGTGTCCCCACATGATACTCTGGGTCACTGGGAAATCTATGTCACTCCTTTGTCCCAGATGTTCTCACCAGCTCTCCCATTCATGAGAAATCTCCCAGCTTTGAAACTGGTGACTCGTTCCTGTTGCTACAGACACATGGGCCACCCTGGGTATGTCGTGTTTGCAGGCTGGACCCCACCAGTCAGGCTCGGACACAGTCTGGCCTCCAGTTTTCCTAGCTGCTAAAGTAACTTGCCACAACTTCTCTCAAGAAATTTCGAAGATGTGCCAATATGTGTGTTTGGATTGATCTTACTCTTTCCCCACCAGCATTGGCCTGTGTTTGTGGAGGTTAAAGACCTATTGACGTTGGTGCCACCCCTGGTGGGCCTGAAGGGGAACCTGGAAATGACGCTGGCGTCACGACTCTCCACTGCTGTAAGTAGATATTTGAGCATCTGGGCTACCTGCCTCCCAGGGACGGACACGTGGGCACCTCCCAGTTTCTCCTCATAGCCTTGTTAGACAGGTGGGTTTGCCTCTCTGAAAAGACAGGTGTTAAGAGGTTTTGTTCTGTCATGATGCTCCACCTGGTCGCTCCTCACAGCCTGCTATCCTGTTGTTCCACAGTGCAACTGGACTTCTGGTGAGGGCCAGGCTCAGCCCCGTGTGCCCTTGGTTTCTCCTGTAACCTGCTGTGTCCCGGAGCCTGGCTCCACACATTCACACAAAAGCTGTAATGAGCAATGCAGCCTTACTGAAGGGTTTTAGAGATGAAACAGGATTTTCGTCACCACATCATCCATATCTGTTAGAGGATTTTCTTTTCTATGATGGCTCTGAAATGCCCCGTCAGCAGAGGGGTCTTCTCAGGACTCCCTAACTCACTCTGTCCCTCAGGCTGTCACTCATTCTACCCCTCCTAGCTATCCTGGGAATTGCAGTTCTTTTCCTTCTATTATGCGGAATGCTCTTTCCCCTTCTGTGAAACCCATTTCACATTCAGGATGTGAACAAGGCTGATGGCAAGAGTAGGTATGTTGTAGTCAGGAAACTGAAACAAGAGTGATGTAATTGGAATAGTGAGGGAAAGAGGTGGGGCCTGCCTGGAGAGTGGGTGAAGGGTGGCTAGCCGGACAGTGGCCCCCAAAGAGCCACATCCTAATCCGTGGGACCTGTGCATAGTTCCTTATGTTGACAGGGTCTTTGCTGATGGGATGAAGTGAAGGACCTTGACACAGGAGATGATCCTGGATTATCCACATGGGCCCAGTGTCATCGCAAGGCTCTCTAGTAAGGGGGGGACAGGGATGTTTCAGAAGCAAAGGCCATGTGAGGGAAGTCAAGTCAGAGAAGATGCTATGCCACTGGGTTTGAAGTTGGAGGAATAGCCAGGAAATGTGGCTTTACCTGCTGGAGAAGATGAAGAAACAGATCCCTCCCTCAAGCTTTCTGAGGGAGTAAGACCATGTGGACACCTTGATTTTTGCCCCATAAGATGCATTTCAGACTCCTGGCCTCCAGAAGGTAGGAAGTACAGAAGTGCATTTCTGTGTACACACTAGAAATAATCATTTACAAAATACAGTTGGAAAAGAGGTATCTTTCAAACCATTGATTTTATTTTTTAATTTTATTTATTTATTTATTTACAATAGAATGTGCTTTTAATAACACTACAAACCAGAGGAAATAAACAAGGCTGCATAGGTGATCTCATTTACACATTTCACAAAGCAATCATGTACAATAATAAATACCCTTACTCAAGAACGTCCATATTAATACAGAAAAAGAATTACCAGAGGTTACATAATATTTGTTTTCAAAACAGACAAGATGGCTTTCACTGGACTTCACTGTACCCCAGAGAGATACCCAAGATTCACGTTAGAATTTCAACACAAAGAAGAATTTGCAGAAAAAAAAAAGATACTTACACAGACTCAGGAAGAAGAAACATGTTTTGAAAAGTTACTCTAGGTTGTAATAAGATTTTAAGAGTGATTTCAGCTGGAGTTGCCTCTTTAGTGAACAAACGGGCTCTGAGGCTCACTGTGTGATGGCACAGGAGGAGGAAAGAAGCTGGACACAGTAACAGAGATGAGAACCCAAGCACTCTGGCACCAACAAGTTCTATTACATATGCAGAAGGCACTGCTTAGAGAAACTAGGGTTTCCAAAACCAGACATATTTTGGAATGGCTAGCAGCAAAGATGGTTGGACAGGTGGCTGTTTAATGAATTTTGAAGACAATAGAATTCACAGTGGGAAGCTTACAATAGAGCTGGCCTTCTATAGGAAATCTTTCAGGAACCCTTGTGTTCTCATTAAACATGTAGGAAAGACCAAGCCAACAGATCTGCAATTCACATGCAAGACAAAGCAAGTGTGATCTGGGCTAAATACACAGGAATCAGAGCCTTCTCAAGAAGGCAAGAGGAACATTTTTGTGCACCTGCTTCTTTTACTATGCTGACTTAGGGCATGCCACAAGAGTTGAAAATAGTGATGGATGCAAAGCCAATTAACCTGGTCTGTCAGTTATAGGTAACTGCATAATATTAAAACATAATGAGGAAGAATTATAGTTGAGGTTGCTAAAGGCTAAGGAAATTCTCCAATTCTTAACTTACAATAAAAGCATTTACAGTAAATTCAAACATACAACTTACAGCTGGTTTGTTGGCTTTCCAATTCATTGCCCCAGTTTGTAAACAAGCTCTAATCACTTTGGTAGCCATCTGCACTCAGGGACACAAAGTATTCTGCAAATCACTAAAGTCCTATTTAAAATTTTCCTCCTTCCACCTAAATTTCCAGTGTGCTAAGTAATCTGCAGGACAGAAGGCAGAGAGGAATGAAGTGTGAGTCTGAACGTAATCCTGCAAGGCAGAGCTACCAAGCCAGCCTCCACCTAGACCAAAATAAGAGCACAGAAATATGAGGGAAAACATTTCCTGAAGCTCAATTCCAAAAGGTTAAGTTGCTCAAAACTCCCAGTTTGAGAGAGGAGCATGGTTTTAGCCTCAGGTCTCCCTTTCTGATCTATAAACATCACGAGGCCCCTCAGGAATCACTGAAACAACATAGCATAGAAGCATCTATCAGAAGACTTAATGCTTTGTGGTGCACTTAGTTCACAGGATAATAGGAGCAGATGGAATTTCTTTAAAATACATACATAAAAGCTTACTAAGTTCTCCTAAAGATTAAACACAAAATGTCCATGACTAACCATCACTCTCCTGCCAGAACAGAGCCAGAAATGTTGAGTATGCAAGTACTAATTACAATGATTTTAAGATTAGTCAGAAACAGTACCAGGTAACATCCCAAAGTGTACAAGCCAGTTAAACACATATAAAATTGGTATTAATCCAGTTAGAAATACAAAATGAAAATTATGGATGTTGCCTCAAATATCTGGGATTCCACAAATTTACAATCAGCCTATGTAACAAAGTAGACTCTAGTTTTAAGAAAACATTACCATTCAATATCTATTTCAAAAATGATCTCAAGTCCCAATGATGTCAAAAGTCATTTATCTGGAAATTAGAATCATTTAAATGTTTGTACAAATTTGCAAATAACAAACCAAAAAATTAGAAAAGACCTGTACAAGGCTGGCCTTTAATCTGTTTTTCCCAAATGTGTTTGACAAGTCCATTAATTCAGCAGAATGATAATGGGCTATTGGTTCTCATGTAAATTGGGTGGCCTTATGAACAGGCCCAAAGCTGTTCCATGGAGGCACAGGATGGAGAGCTTGGTTCTCTGTGGTTCATCTGGTCAGCAGAACACAGGTGGTACAAACAAAAGTTTAACTTATCAAAGACATGAGACCATCACAGTATTACAAAACTTTCCTTTGACCTAATGGATATTTAAAACAACAATGACAACAACAACAACAAAACACACATAGTTCTGTAGCTACTGCTTATGTAGAAAACTTGAAAGCACACCAGTATCTGCATGTCTTTTCTGCAGTTATATGGTGTAATGAGTTTGGCACTTCATTGTAATGAAATTTCCAATGACACAGTCCTTACCTACAGTGGCACATAACCTGCAAACATCAGGCAAACATCCTGTACAGGAAAAGTGTCTTCGCTGCCAAGTCTGACGAAAGGAAAAAAAATTGCTTTTTTTTCCCTTTTTTTTTTTTAATCAAGAAAAGGAAAATGAGGGGTGAAGGACATCTTTGGACTGCTTCTCTCCATTCCTGTTGTCAGACAATCTGAAGTCCTTTAAACTGTAGCCTGTTCACTAACTCACTCTTAGGCCTGATACCCAGCTATGTGTCATTGTCTTAACGCTGTGTGGGAAGCTTTGGTTGGGCAACACATTGTCAGCATCAGAATCTAACATAACACCGTCCATGAGGTTGTTCCAAATGATGGACTCCATGTGAATCAACATGCCATCCAAGTCACTTGGGAGCCTACCCTGGTTGAGAAGGCCCATCCTGCCATGGTCATTGCAGCTGCTCACTGAGGAGTAGGCCCCCAGGGCTTTCATCTGCATGGTGTGCGACAGCAACACTTGTAAAGCTGTCTTCACTGGGGGCAGTTCATTCCTGAGGTGTGGAGCATGGTGCTGACCACATGGGGCAAGGCACCCCCATTAACTGCAGATGTTGGCTGGGTATGTCTGGGGTGGGTGTGGGAGCTGGGGTTCATCATTTTGTTATGAGATGCCTGACTACCATAGGTTGACATGACCAAATTAGGGCCCATTAACATATTCTGACCAAGGACCTGGCTGTTGGGTTTGAATGATCCCAGGATCAACTACTGTCATAATGTCATGATGGGGAGGAGAGTAAGTAAGCAACTCCTTCAAGAGTCCCGGTGCACAGTTACAATGATTCATACTTCCATAGCTCAATTTGTTGTCCTGAAGTGTTTACATAGGCATGTGGGGCAAAGGACTCCTGCTGGACTGGCCGTGTGTATATTTTTGGGAGTTGGGGCTGGGTGAATTCAGACTGGTGTTTGGTAGTACATATGAGTAGCATGGTGTCTGCTGCATCCTGGTGCCAGGTGAAGACTGAGTTGAAACAGTTAATGGCATTGGTGATGAGACAAGGTTGAGATTATCCAAAAGGTTTTCCATATTTTCAGGATTACTTATCTCAGACAGACTGGATGGAGCAGAAGCCATCTTTGCAGCAGATAGTGGGTACACCATAGAATGCACATCCCCATCTCTAAGATCATTCTGTTCGGTCATAATGGGATAAAGTCTCCCACTAATAGTACTAGCATTTGAGCTAGTTGGAGGGTGAAATGCATGCCACTTATTAAAGCCATCACTGCTGTGAGAGCCAGGGCTCACATGCCATTTATAAAACTGAGATCCTGGGCTGTCCCAGGCACTCTCCTGACCAGACTGTAGAGACACTTTTTCTCTTAACAGCTCAGCCCCG